TTAGACATTATTATAATATAATAATATGATATTGATTTAATTGAACAATTATGATTCAATATATTATATATAATTAATTAATACAGTAGAGAAAATATAACATCGAAAACAATGATAAAATAAAATATTAAATTTATTTTTAAAATGTTAAATTTTATTATCTAAAATTATTATCTAAAATTGCTTCAATGCTATTTTAGAAAAATATTTCACTATATCAAGAAAAAATTTCTACAATTAAGAGTATTTTGTAATATTATTTATTTATTATTCTGAAGCGATATATATAAGTACAATACAAAATTATTATATTTAGATATAATCAGAACAATGGAACAGCAATTCATATAAGTTATTTAACGTTTTATTTTTTCAAGAGTTGTTGTAAATAAATTTTTTCAAAATTAAAAATTTTTTTGTCATCAGATTCTTTTTTATTATTACAATCAAATAATTTAAAAATTTTACAATTATTTTAATCTTGTTGTTAAACATAAACTATTTCTGCTCAGTTGCAATAAGACATTAAATCATCAAAAAACAATAGAAAAAAAAAATAATTAAAAAAGAAATATCAAGATCCATAACTTAAAATGATTGTGTATTTGATCGAAATTTTATTTTTTTTTTAAATTTATGAAATCTAAATTTTCAAAAAACTGATAAAATTAGATACTTATTTGTTGAAATGATCAAATTTATCAATTTTATATTTTTCAATTTATGATGAAAATTTGAATCATTCTGCCAAATCATGACACTAAATTTATCAGTTTTAAGAAAAATTAGTTTTATCGTTTCGAAATTTATGTACATATTTGTACATGTAAATGAAAAGAATTAATTTCGAGAATTGAAGACCTCTATCGGCGTCTTAAATATACTTATTAACAATATGTATATATAGATTTAAGAATACGACACGCGAAATTCTTATTTACATCTAATGTAAATTGTTATGAACATCGTGTCACATTCATATAGTAAATACACATATAGTAAATATATTAAAGAAAAAAGACTATTGAAGATAAGAATACGTGAATAAATGTTTACATACTTGTTCTAACTTTATAAAAAGTGAAATAAACTTGTACAATTTATAAAAATATAAAGTAATAAATTATATTCGAATATGTATACAATTATATTTAATAAAGAAGAAAAAGAAAATTGTAACTGTCTTCTAATCTATATATATTGTGATGAATATTATTTTTAAATCATTTATAATTGCAAGAAAATAAATAAAAATTAAAATAAGTATGCTTCGTTATAAAATTTACGATAAATATAAAATTACTCTTGAAAATTTTTACAGTCTACAAAAAGGTTATTTTTATTAAAATAAACAATCAGATATATCGCATAATAATATAATTATATTTTAACAGATTAATTTTTAACAATGAATTAAAAGATGCTCTTAATATTCTGAACAAATAATATACAAAATTACAATAATATTTTATAAAATTTTATTTAAATACAAATGATTTTTTCATAAGATATACATGAAAATGTAAAAAAGTATCGAAGTCAATTTATTTTTCACTTTAAGTTAAATTAATATTAATCGAATTAATATTTCCCTCCATTCTCTATATTCTTTATATTAATAATATTTTGTTATAAAAAATATAATCATTGAAAATTTAAATATTTTAAATATCTAAATTTTTAATATCTAATTTTTAATCTTCTTTAAATATCTAAATATTAAAATTAATCTAAATTTTCTTAGATATCAAAATTTTATAAAATTTTTTATTATAAAAATATGAATAACAATATTTTCATTAGTAAATTCATTTTAAGATAAAAAATAAAAAATTATTGCAGTGGTTGAGAATAAATAAAGCTAAATGAAATTTTAAAATATAACTAATAAATTATATTTTAAATTCTGAATAACATTAAAAAATATAAAGTATCTGAAACTTTAATTTTATTTTTATTTAATAAATATTTATTAAAATTATTCTTTCTTACGAATCAAATTACAAAAACATATGAAAATTATAATATTAGATAAATATTAATTTATATTAATTTATTAATCTCAATAAAATTAACTATTCAATGTTACAACCAATTGTTTTTCAAAATCTTTATTAAATAAAAGTTTATAATCAATCATTTTAACGTAGTATATTTAATATTCCAAATTATCAATATGTCTCTAGCAACCAAGTGTCATATTTTATATTTACATAATTTACATGAAACCATAAACTTAAAATGCAAATGAATAGATTAAACGTTTTATTTTAAATTTTTGATTATATTTTAATTATGATTTCAACAATTGAATATTTGCTAAAAAATTTTTGAAAACTAATATTTTATTCTTCTTTAAATTGAATCGTAAATAATAAAATTACAATTTCCAAATGTCATTAGATGTCATATGAGATGAATTGTAAGATTATTCGCTTTTAATATTTACAAATTAGAACGTTAGTAATTTCTTAGATATCTCGATATACCAAATTATTCGCCGCGTTTTTTTTAATGGCTGAAATTCAAATTAAAAATTTAAAATCGATCTATATATAATATTATAATTTAATATTTTACAATTTATTTACAACACAATCAATTCGTGCACATGCAACTTCTTTTTTCCAGCTTCCACTCAGAAGGAACGATGAAAGTGCAGCGATGCTTATTTAATTCGTGCAGATGCCGAACAGCGCGGTAGGTGATCTCGCGAGGCGAAACCAATTTTCCACGAGGCGCGATCACGCCGCTCATTGTTTTTGTTTTCTCTTCCCCCTTCTTCTTGCACGGATGGGCATCCACGGAACGGCACGTTGGACGACTCGGGCAAGAAAGGGGGAAGAAGGGAAGAAATTTTAAGGAGCGAACGAAACGGAGTCCCGGTGATGGGCTCTCCGGGGATCTCTTTAAAGTGCCGCGGCCTTTCGATAATTAGAGGGCAGCCATTGTTACATCGGGCTTCGAGGAGCGCTGGGGACGAAGTGAGAAAGGAACGAAAAGAGGGTGGGGTACGATGGAAGAGGACCCAGGCGAAACGAGCACGCTCGTCTCCCCCCTTCTTCTTCTCTTTCTTTCTTTCCTTACTTTTCGTATTTTCTTTTTCTCTGGTTTCGCGAACAGCTTGTCCAGAGGAAAAAAAGTCGCCCATGGAAATACGTGATTTCAAGGGCCACGCGATACCGCGTTCGAAGTTAAAGAAAGATCGTGAGAACATAGGGAAACCGGGAATTTGCACCATTGTGCCAAGTTGTCGTCGTTTCAATTTTTGAACACGGTGAAATTTGGAGAAACAGATTCATTTTGTGCGGGGAAAAATTTAATTTTATCAAGTTTGTGAGCTGAAATAACTTTTGTCAGTTGTATAATTATTACCATACAAGTTTTATCAGAAAAAAATAGAAACGAAATTTTTAAATTCGCAAAATTTTTAAAACATAATAAAAAAAATTTATGGAATCTTAAAATACTTATTTTTTATTTTTCTTTTTATTTTATATTATATTAGAGAATATATTTTGTTGAAAATTAGAATCTTAAATTAATTTAATTTTTAATAAATATAATGTAATTACAATTAATAAATTTTTATTTTTAAAATTTTCAAAATTCAATAATTATCCAATATATAATTATAATCATATATTTAACTTGCAAAAATTAAATTTTTATATTCTATTTCTTCTTCATATAAATTATAAAAAATTAAATTTAATAATTAAATAAATCTTCGATTCAAATTCAGTTGAATTATTATTAATTAAATAAAAGTTAGTAAAATATTTATATCTACAAATTATTATTTAATTATTTTAAAAATTTTTGATTACAAAAATAAATGATTTCGGGATCCAAAATTCAAAAATTGGAAATTTTTTGAATTTTCAAGAATTCAAATCTTTTATTTTTAATTTTTATACATTTTTATTAAGAATCTTTTTTTTCAAAGTGAAAAATCATTTCATTTTATTTCCTTTTATAATTATTGTAATTATTTATTAGCAAACAATTTAATAATTTAATAATTTAATAATTTTTTAAATATTTTTACAGGTTTAATTATATTTCTAATCATTTTTTTTTTTGAAAGAAGATTAAAATAAAAATTAATATTAAATTAATTAATCTTTAATTAAACACAATATATAAACAATAATTAATAATTAAAACAAATAATAATTAATCTTCGATATTTCAACCAAATGATTTTTTCAAAAAATTTTTTTTATAAATAATTATGTATGTAATTTACAATGTACATTTTAAATAATAAATAATACATATAATAATTAAAATTATTTAATTTATTCTAATTTGTAAATAACTATTTTGAGAATATAACTTTATTTGAGAATTTTCATTAAAGAAATAGTTCAGTTAATTTCGTATTAAAAAAGACAAAATTTAATACAATAAAAAAATCAAACAATTTCATACATATGATATGAAAAGTTTACTAGAAAAATAGAAATATATTATATATTTATTTCTCCGATGAATTTTATCTACAAGATATAAGATTCCATTTACTTGATAAATTAGCCACATATTTTTCAAGATCTCATTAAAAATTCATCAAGATGGAAAACTTACTATATATATTAAAACTTACCTCTTTAAAACTTACTATACATATTTAGTTCAATTTATGAATAAAACCACATCTCCAATCTAATGCAAGCAACAAACACAAAAACAAAATCTTCTCCCCACTCTCCCCCCACTCCCCTCTATCCCCTTAACAGGATTTCTTATCCCATTTAAGACTTGAACGATTCGAAAAGGCATAGGAGAAGTCACGTTTCTTCCACTCAGGCTGAAACAACCGTGAAACCGTTCGTTCAGCTCGCAATTACGCTTAATCTTGCTACGCCGGCTGAATTATTAAACTCCTCCTCGACGAGACAAGAACCACCTTCTGCTGAATCTCTCGATCGTAATTAAATTATCGTGCAGCATTTTCAAGAAAGCATCGATTAGCCATTAGAAATGGAACTTACCTAAGTAACAAGCGGCCGATACCCTTCATCTTAGCGGAATCGAGCTACCAGAGGTTGGCGTTTCTCATCGTGGCGCGAGTGAAAAACCGAGCAACCGGTCGCGAAAGAGAGGTCCTCCCCGAGCGTAGCTTGGCTGGTTTCCTTCTTATCGCGAAACCGTATCCACCATCGATCACACGATCGAGTAATTAGTACGTCCTCGGTTTTCATAAATCATCGGGGATAAAACCAGCGATGTTTATCCGTGGCGAAAGAATGTGGCCGTCGAGCTACGCAATTTTTCGGTGCCTTTTGGATCGTTCGTTGGAAGGCGGTGGAATTGTACGGCGAACAAAATCGGTATTTGATAATGACAAACTTGTTTCTTTCAAGCGTATTTGAAATCGTGATGGGTCGTTTCGTTTTTGGACGAGTCTCTTTCTCCTTACGATTCACATAATTGTTTTTGATGCTGCTTCGAAGAAGTAGTTTCTTATTATTGTTGAGAAGAATATGCAGGATTTTCTTTTTTGATATATCTCGTTTCCTGAGAAATTTATGCCAAACTACGGACTGGTTGTTCGATTTTTGAGAAAATTGAGGCGCGAGATTCTTTCTTGAAATTGAATGAATTTGGGTAAGTTGTTTGTTGAATATGATGTAATCAACATTTGATGTAAAGAATTCTTTTAAATTTGGAAATTGGAGTTCGGAAAATTTTAATATATGTTGATTAGAAATTCTATGTTTTAGTTGATTTATAAATTATATATAGTATCCATTTGTACTATTAATATTAATTTTAGTATTGAAAAAAGATTTGAAAAGATTATTCTAAAATTAATAAAACTTTTCGAAATTTATCATTATGGTTCAATCGATATTTGAACGATATTCGAAGAATTTAATTAATTATGAAAGATCCTTTGTTCCTTTAATCCTTTCGCAATGTTTAAAAAATGTTTAAAAAATTTTAAAAAAAGAAAATAACGATTGCCTTTTAAGCTGATATTGAAATACTCCAGTTTCTTTTCCTCGAATCCTTAAAATCGCGTGAAGAAGCTACTGAGTGCGTGATCAATGTTCGAGGGATTTAACAATGAGTAGCGTTCAAGGGCGCAAGGCGTTCCTCTTCTTTCGCTCTCCTTAAAAGTGTATCGCCATCAGTCACTAACTTTACGAGAGACATTCAGGGATTTAACATTAAAACTACATGAGTTTCTTGCTTTTAATTGTCTCGTTTCAAGGAAAAAACTGTTGAATGCAATCTAATCGAGTTTGAATTTTTCTTTCTTTTAATTGCTTTTAAAGCTACTTCGTGGAAATCGGTGGACGAGTAATTGACTTTAAAATTGTTCGAGCTATTAAGTATGTGGTTTAATATCCATACCGGTTCTTTTATCTAAACGCCTTCTATTTTCTTCGATTTATTATCGATTGTCAAATTCATGTAGAGAAATCATATGTATTTAATCTAATTATTCAGAATTCTAGTTCTAAGCAATTTTTACAAAAAAAATTTTATTTTTTTCTTATACTTTATATTTAAAATTATCTGGAAATTTTTCAAATATTTTCTAATTTTTCTTTATTAAGATCAAAATTTTTTTTTTTGGTTTAAAAAATTCTTACAGAATGAGAATTTTAAAAATAATCGAAAAATAAATAATTTTTACAAGAAAATTTCATTTTCTTTTTATTTATCTTTGGAATTATTTGCAGACTTTTCATTTTCATTTTCAAATATTTTCTATTTTTATCTTCTTTATTAAAATTAAGATTTTAACAATCGTAGTATCGTTAAATATCATAGTAGATATGATACATAAAAGTTTATAATTTTATATTCGTATATCATTTCTCTTTCTTTTATTTTTATAATTTCGGAAAGAATTAAAATCTAAATAAATAAACAAATATTATAAGAAAATATATCTTTTTTTCTATATATAATTTTGCCTAGAATTATTCAAAAATATTAATTTTAAATTCCGAAGTATCTCCACAATTTCATTCATTTCTAAAATTAAACAGTAATTTTAACAAACTTAAAAAATCATCTAATTTTTTTCTAGAATTATCTTCGAAATTACATACATTCCAAAATACAAGAAGAAATTTTAAATATATTCGCATTCAAGAACAATTCAAGCGAAAACCAGCAAAAGTTAAACGTTAATTAATGTTTGGTTCTGATCCGAAAGCGTGAATTACGAGATAAATCTGACATTCCGAGTAACCGGTGATTACAAGATACACGATTACTACAATTTAGCAAAGTTCCTGTTTCTCTTTTTTTGTACCCGTTTCCAAGGGTTAAAACGAAACGAATAAATATCCGTTTCGTTCTGCCAAGATAATAGATGTTATACTTTGAGACATTGAAACACCATGATGTGCTGGCTCTTTCTCGAGATATCATTATCTGGAATTAGATTCCTCGGAATAGCTTCATCACGCTTCATCATCTATTTTCGCGGGAAAGAAGTGATTCGAAAGAGAGATGTTGATTTCAATTTTTATCTTAAGTTAACTATCATGCAATGATAGTTCATGACGTTGATTTTATGTAATCATAGATTGTGATTTGAGTTTATTGTCTTGAGTTTTCTTTTTAAATGATTTTTCTTAACTTAATGTTTTAATATTGTTCGAAAAGATAAAATGTTTTAATATTGTTCGAAATCATTATTTATAAGGAAAATATTTTTATACTAATTCCATTTGTTTATTTATAACTACTTTAGCTATTTTTAATCGTTTGAATCATTCATGGATCAGGTTTGTTTAACGCAAATCTTTGATAAAATCTCTCTCTGATTCGCAATATCGCATTATAATGATATTTCAAAGATTAAAGGATTTAAACGTTTCTAAGATGCTACTTCCTTATTTATAGTTATCAGCTTTAATTGTGAATCATTTTAATTAATTGTTCGATTCTAGATTACTTATCAAACATTTGATAATAATCGCAAATTCACGATACATCATTGTATCACTTCTTGTATAGATAAAACCTTTCAAAGTTTTTAAAAAGCTATTTCATTATTTACAGCTTTTATTTTTATCGTTCATAGTTATATTACTTCCTTACTTAGTTAATATTACTTTCTTTTAATTATAAAAGCTCAAAATTTTATATTTTTACAAATATCATATATATATACTCATATTTACAATTATGACTCGCTTTAATTGTTTGTTTATATCACATTTTAAAAAGGAAGATTAAATTACAATCATCATTTTTTTATCTTTCTAACAATTATTCTTCCAATTTGTATACTTAAAAGAATTCTTTTTATCCACTCATTACACCTTTGACCAAAATCATCTCTTCATCAAATCATTCATCTTTTCAAAGTTTATTCTAAAAATCTTTATCTTGATTCAGTTAAAAAACTTCACTAAAAATGTATTAACAATTCAATTATCATCATTCTAAAAATCACTAACAAACATCTTTCAACTTTTCTTAAGAACTTCATTCAGCAATCCTCAAATCTTCAATCATCTGTTTTCAATCGCCTTTTTGATTTGTCCAATTTTACTTTCAATAATTATCAAAATCTATGTCGAAATCATTATTAGAATCCATTTGTGAGAAATTAGCTCGTAACTTATGATCATTCTCCAAATTCTTGATCGTATGTTTCAATCGTTTTTAATATAAACAATCTCCAGCATAATGGTTAAAATGATCACTCTACGAACGATCATCACAACAACAATTTTCATAAACATCTTTCAACTTTCTCAAACGTCATCAAACATTCTTCGAATCTTGGACCACACATTTAAATCATCTTCACTAACTATTATCCGATGCAACCACGATCACTCTACGAACAACAGCCCAAACCAACATCTTCAAACTTTCTCAAACGCCATCAAACATTCCCCATCAAATCTTCGGATCATTCGCTTCCAACCGCGACACAACCGATCTCACTCCCAACAACCGTGAAAATCCATCTCGGAGCAACTTTTATTGGGACCCATTCGTGAGAAATTAAGGGCTTGCCTCGTCTGGGATCGAAACCGGCGCGCGTTCGTTTCGAGTCGGATGATAATTGGCCCGGCACGGCAGCCACCGTTTCTTTGATAACAGGTTCTCCGGTTTCGGAGTTCGCCGTGTTCCGGACCGCGTATCGCGCATGCGTTCGTCCTTTCGCGTCTCCTCCACGGCGAGGAGGTCGTAAAGATAATGCCCACATGCCAGCCAACAAACAGACCAGAACGGAAAATATAACTGGCCTCTCTTTCTCTCTCTCTCTTTCTCTCTCTCTCTCTCTTTCCTTAACATGTGGTTACGTTCGAACGGGCGATCGTTCGCGACGATTAATTTCATTTCGTTAATTCGGTCGAGCTGTGCCGCGTTTGATCGGCGGCCGCACGATATCATGTGGGCCATGAAACGTCACCCCCTCGTGCACGTCGACTCAAACTACGATGATGGTGGTTCTAACCGTTTGAAACGGTTTCTTGCCGTGCCGTTGATACGCGATTACCTCGATTCACGTGATCTCTCGTTTGTTTGCGATCGTTTATCGCGGAGATTTGCATACGATGTGTGCGATAAATTTTTGATTCAATTTCGGAAAAACAATTATAACAGAATGGAAAAGGATTTGATTTTTGATCTTTTTGCTTGGAATTTTTGCTAGGGAATTTAGACTGGATTGTTCTTTTTCCTATGAAATTATTATTTGAAAAATTTAAATATTTTAGAAAAAATTGAAGAAATGAATAATTTATTTTTATATATTTGATGTAATTTTCTTAAAATATTTATTAGTTAATTATATTTTTATATTTTAATCTATTAAAAATTCATCAAATAAATTGTATAATGATTCATTTTAAAAATGATATTTATTTCTCAAAATCTAATTTATTTCTCTAATTCTAATTTGAAAAGTTAATTTGATGAACTATTATATAAATTAATTTAAAAAGATGTTGGGATGCGATAAATATTAAAATTGAATAATAGTATTTTATTTTATTTTTATTTACAAATAAAATCAGATTAATATACAGTTTATTTTCATAAAAATTTTATAATGAATTTCTACAATGAATTTATATATTTATATATTTATTAAA